CCCACGCGGCTGGCAGACCTCTCCTGACCCTTTGGCAGTGTGTTTCAGTACATCTGCCTGTTCTGTTTCCCACTCTGTCTCTGGTGAATCCTCTTACCGCCCCCCTCCACATCTCTGGCCTGTACCCCAGTTCTTAGATACATAAATAAATACATCTTAAAAAAAAAAAAAAGAACAGAAATATTGGAACAAAAGAAGTTAAAGATAAGGTTTAGGAGGCTAAAACAGGCTTTAAATCAGAAATGAAATCAGAACAAGATACAGAATTGACAGAGGAACTGTAAAAGACAAACAAAAGTAATAAGAGACATTAGTTGAATAAGAAGGCTGGAATTTCAAATGTAGGATTAAATATTTAAAAACATAAGCAAAATAAATATTTAGCACAGAGTAAAATTAGACGTGAAGGACTAGTGAGCTGAGAGATTAAACCATGCAACAGATTTAAAGTTGAAATTGATACCGCTTAATCTAAGTGTTTACATTCAAGAACAAACAAGCTAAGGACACAAGGGGAGGAAAAAGAGACGAGTGTACCAGCTCTTACTCCCACCTGCAGAAGGTGAGAGGGACTGTTCCTGCAGCACCTCCCCACACCCATCTCCAGGTACTGAGCTGCATGTGTATCTACCAGTCTAATAGACAGAAAATTAAATGAAAAAAAATGCAATACATGTTGTCCTATATTGTCTAGACTTCCTCCAGTATGTTTGTCTTTTAAAAAAATTGCCTGGTGACCCTTCCTGGTGGTGCAGCAGGTTAAAGCACAGCATTAAGAAGCTAAAGACACTTCAGCACCAGTTCTATCCCTGCCCTGGAGGTGACCCACATGGAGGGCAGACCTCGCCTGACCCACCCGCTGCTCCTCTCATACTTCCTCAGTCAGCCTGTTCTGCTCCTTACTCTGTTTCTGGCAAATCCTTTCACTGCTCCTGCACTTCTAGCTTGTACTCCAGCTCTGTATGCATAAATAAATAAATCTTTAAAACAAATTGCCTGGTTATATCCCTTAATATTTTTTTTTGTTAGGGAAATTAATTTTTTTACTCATTGATATATAGAAGCTCTAATAAAAAGTTGTGTGTTGGGTTGTTGGGAACAAGGAAGGATAAGAATCACTCACTAAATTTTATTTCATAAGGTTGGCACATTGTGCAATATTATTTTATAGTTAAAATGGATTTCTCTCCAATAATGCAAAAAGAGGCAAAATAAAGAGACCTTTGGAAAAAACTTTCTGACAGTGAAAAAAATCATGACAGTGTTTGGTACCCTTTTTCGAGTCACACAATGCTCAGAAAATTTAGTGTATGTTGTGGATTTACTCTTCAGTAAACCCTGAATACATGAATATAGTTATCATGTATGTAGTTTTAGGGGTTCATCAACCCCCTGGGGCCCATCAACTTTGGCTAAGGATCCTGGTCTCACAGGTTATTCATGGGGGGCTATCACAGGTTTCTGAGAAGCAATCCATTGAAATTAAATTCACATTTATACAATAGGCTTTAATTATTTATGAGTGTCATTGCTTAAACATTGCCAAGTACCTTCTGATATTGTTATTGTAGTACATGGAGCAGTACAAAGATCAATATGATATCATGTTTTCCTGAAGGGTCAAAGTATCTTGGGAGTTGATTGCAGAAAAATCTATGGCATTAGAAGGGGTGTGTAACTAATAAAGGAAGAGGTGTATTTCCAAACCAGATATTGGAAAAAATGTCTGAGAGAAGATGGTATATGTGCCAGGTAGTAAATGAAGGTTAGGATTAAAAAAAAAAAAAAAAAGACAGTGTGAAGGTAAGATGTTTAGCTGGTGGGAGTAGTAGATGCAATTGCAAAGACAGCAAGATGTACGTGTTCGTGAACAAATGATCTCTCCTGTCTGAATGGAGTACAGGGCTCACTAAATGGAGTATAGCACTGAGTAAGTCAAGGCAATATGCTTGACACAACTTTAAGAAGTCTCACAATCTAATGGAACATACAGATATAATAATCACTTCTTACTATTTTAACATTCCATACACCAAATTACTTGACATGGGAAGTTAGGAAGCATATAAGGTCATCAAGGAAAAAGGTTCCTGGCAAATGTACCAACTCATTTAAACTGGTAGATAGCAGAAAAGACTGGGAAGGTAACCTGAACTAGATTGAGGAGATTTTTAACCTTAGGTGTAATATTTTAGATTTTGGTTTGGTAGTAATTATGTCTGAAGATGTATAAACCAAGGGAAATTTTAGAACTGAAAACACCACAGCCTATATAAAAAAAAAAATCAATAGGGTAGGTCAATATCAGAATGGTAGTGATAGAAGAATCAATGAAATTGAGGATAGATGAACAGAAAGCATATTATCCAAAGAGAAAAATATATTGAGAAGGAGGAAGAAACCAAGTTTCAGGGGCCTTGTTTTTTTAGATAACAGAATTTGTTAGGTAACAAAAGATCTAATATTTGTACCAGCAGTGCAAAAGTTCAGAAAGAGAAGGAAAGGAATGTAGAGTTGAAAAAATTTTGAATAAAAGTTTGAAAACATTTCAATTTTTATAAAAATATGCTCACATATCCCAGAAGCTCAGTGGATCCAATAAACTGAAAGAACTCATCATTAAGACATATCATGACCAAATCAACCAAAACTAAAAACAAAGGAAATTTCTAGAAATCAGCAAGATTGTTGCGACACATTATTTTTTGGCAACAACAATTCAAATGACAACAGATTTTTTCATCAGAAACCACAGAGAAACAAAACATTTATGCATACAGAACTGGGGTACAGGCCAGAGGTACAAGGGTGGTGAAAGGATTCACCAGAGACAGAGTGAGGAGCAGAACAGGCTGACTGAAAAAGTACACTGCTAAGGGGAGCAGCAGGCGGGTCAGGAGAGGTTTGCCAGGCCATGTGGGTTACCTCTGGGGCAGGGATCGAACTGGTGCTGAAGTGACTTTAGCTTCTTAGTGCTGTGTTTACTCACTGCACCACCAGGGATATTTAATATTTTAAAAACTTAATATTTATTATAAAGTAGGGAGAATAAACAAACCTAAACCTTGTTAAGTATCTACATCCCATCTGAAGTCACAGAATGTTAATTTTAGTAGATTGCAATAAGCTACATAAACATATTGTACTTTTTAGAACAATCATTTAAAATACAACACAAAAAGATACTTAAAAACATATAAAGTGGAATTCTTAAAAAAATGTTCGAGTTGTAAAAATAAGCCATTATATTATTAAAAAATATTCAAGTTACCCACAGGGAGATAAGAAATGAGGCAGAGGAATTAAAAAGAGGAAAAAATTAAATTTAAAATTAGCATTGTTATTCTCAACATATCAATAATTATGTTAAATATCAATGATGTAAATTTACCAATAAAAGACAAGATACACAGAATGAAAAAAATTACCCATCTATATATTATTTGTGAAAAATTCATTTAAAGTATACTGTTATTAGTAGATTAAAGCAAAAACTAACTATATATCATGCAAATACTGATGAAAATGAGCTGTCAGGGTTATATAACATTAGGTAACATTCAGGCAAAGAAAATCTCTCAGATCCAGTATGTAAAGAGGGACATTACATACTGATTTAAAGTAAGTCAGTTGATCAAGATGACTTAACAATTTTGATATATATGCAACAAATAATTGAGCTGCCAAACACATAAAGAGAAAAACTACCAGAAATAACTTGAAAGAAAGAGAAACCCGAGATTATAGCTGGAATGGTTAACATGCCTCTCCTAGTAATTGACAGAATCAGTAGATAAGAAGTTAGCAAAGATAGAGAAGAACTAAAAATACGATCATTCAATAAGATCTAGTTGACACATAGAGAGAACACTCTGCCCAACAACAGTAGAATATACTTTTTTTTTTTATATATAGCATGCATGGGACATTTGTCATCTGTGCAAGACAGTCTTGTCAAGTACATGTTCTTTAAAACTGCCAAGTACTGACTGTAGAGAGCTGACCCCTTTTTCTCTCCCTGCTCTGCAGATACTGGGGTCCATTTCAGATTAGCTTGGGAAGGACATGCGACCTCAAGGTCGTGACTCAACACATAGGCATAGTGCAGGTATTTCTAGTGAATGACACTAACATTTGTTGTGCACCTACAGAAGCCATTTAAATGCTGACCAGTCACCATCTTCACAACCACCCATCACAGTATTCTCTCTCAGCAAGCTACCTGTGTTGAGAGGCTGGAAATCAGGTGAGGATTCTTGAGAGAACACTGAATATTGAAGGGAATTTTAGGTCAGCGAATCCTAGCAGAGGATCATTAAAAGGAGGTGGAGGAGGGCTGGGTCAGGAAGGATTAGAAGTGGCTCCCTAAGGACTCTGCTTGGTAGGCAATGGGAGCCATTAAGAAATTTTAAGCAGAGGAATGGTATTTCGAAAGAATTTCTTTAATGAGAAAAGATTGCAGGGAGTGGACACTGAAGCCGAGGAACTCAGTTAAAGTGATGGTGGGGCAGTTCACTTGAAAAGCGGTGAGCACTTAGGTAATAGTATCATCATTTTACACATGGGAAGTGGAGCGTGGGAAAAGAAGGGTCAGCGTGATCCCGCCTCCCAAAGACTAAGTGATCACATTACAAATAACATGTGCCACTCACACTCTTAATAACATATTTAACAGGGTACACAATTAAATGAGTTAAAGAATGCAATATGCCTGGCACACTTACATATATAACTAGAAAAGACATACGTACGTAACTAGAAAAAACGGGGAAATTATCCCAGTTAACCGCAGGGTTCAAAACCTGCTTTACCAATTTACAGGCATTAAGGCAGATACACACCACCCGCACCCACCTGCACTCACCCCCCACCCACCGCCCCGCAGTTCAGAGTCAGGACCTTCTGCCCTCTCCTACCGGCTGAATCGCCAGATGCGACTGCTCAAAGTCCAGGAGGAAGAAGTTGCCAAAGAAGGGCAGGCCCGGGGGTCCTGGCGGGTAATTCTTTGGGTGCCTCCTTTTGAGGAAATTGGCAAGGAGCAGAAAGACCGCGGCACCTAGCAGAACCGTGCGGAGATGGAGCCCAGCCCAGAGCGCGGCCGCCAAGGAGTCCATCGCCGAGGGCCAGGCAGGGAAGCCAGCGAGCTGTCCGCTGGGAGCCAAAGACGCCCCAGCACTGCTTTCCTCAGCGCTCCGGCACCGCCCGCCCCGGCCCGCCCCTGGCGGTCCCGCCGGTGGGGCCGGCTGGCCGGCACACGGGAGCTTCCCCAAGGGGTGGCCCTCGCCAAGGCGGGGGCCGGTGCGTCACGGCTGGGGGAGCTTCCTTTCGCCGGGAGTTTTATTTCTGTCGGTCTAGACTCGGACTCTTGGTATCTGGAACTAGTCACTTCCTCTCCCGAGGCTGTTTCAGAGGAGGGAACCGCAGCGGAGGCTGATTC